CACATGCATGCATGTGAAACTCTTCTAAATACAGTGGTACCTCGGGATACGAACGCCTCTACTAACGAACTTTTCGGGTTACGACCAACTTGGGATACGCCCAGAGTCACGGAACGCATTAAGTTCATATCCCGAGGTACCACTGTATTTAGAAGAGTTTCACATGCATGCATGTGTGTGAAATAAATGTAATTGTAATAAAGTTCCAAGGGATGGTATAATTGCCATGATAAATAAAGCACATGTGAACATTTTTATCATACAAAGTGTGAGCCTAGAAGAGAAAATGTCTGCCATTTGCAAGCTTCATGTCTGCAGTTAAATGGGTCACTGAAAATAGACTTTTTTTTTTTTTTTTTTACAAAAAACGTAAACAGGAAGGGAAATGAAGAGAAATGAGAGAGAGAGCAATTTGGCAGGTGTACAGGGAATGAATTAACAACCTGGTCTCTAGCTGATTTATAACTGTGGCAGTAACAAAAATGAAAAAAAAACCTCACTTGAAAAATCTTTCGTAGAAGATGAATAACCTGAAGCTTTTGATGAAGTAGTAAGTAAAGACTCTTCTAGGGTTTCTATGAAATCCATTCCAGTAGAGGGGGAATTTTCCTTTCTACTTTGCAGTGTAGCAGATGAGGTCTGGATTATAACAGAAGAACTAGCATTTTTCAAATCAAACACTGACAGCTCTGTTGTGTCTGTGGATCTGCTCTGATTAGTTAAAGATGCAAATGTCTCATCTTCGACCACAGTAGTAGAAAACATGCTCTCAGTCTGAGTGGCCCTCTTTTCTATATTGAAGTTGCTCAAGGTACGGTGCTTACTCCTGGTATCTAGAAGACAATAAGCAATTATTAGAAATTTCTATGCATTAGAGCTTCTGTCAATGGAATATATATATATTAACACTAGAATCGTAGGTTTGTTTACTGAGAAGTTCTAGTGCATTCAGTGGGGTGTACTACTCCTTTGTAAGTGTATTTACGTCATACCCTATAATTTTATTAATATTATTATACTCTTCAATATAATTTTCATGTCAGTCTCACTTCATTCATATACAACTTTTAAAAAAATTAAAATAAATGTTAGGGAACACCACTGCATTCATTTAGATATATTCTGCACTGGCAACGAAAATATATTTGCTAAAAAAGAGAAATAAAGTTTGGCTACATTTTTATTAAGTTCACAACATTGGATATCACCTATAGAATGGATAAAATTTCTCAATGAACATCCTGTGGTTGCTACCTTTTTCCCCTCCCTATCCAACTCTATGGTACATTTCAAAATTGAACATGAATATTTCATTATGGTTTCTGCATTACTGTATACCAGTGTTTCTCGACCTTGTCAACTTTAAGATGTGTGGACTTCAACTCCCAGAATCTGGGATTCTGGGAGTTGAAGTCCACACATCTTAAAGTTGACAAGGTCAAGAAACACTGCTGTATACTTTCTCATGAATGTAAAAGCAGAAAACATCTTTGTGATATGAATTGCTCAGATAAAAAAAAAAGGCCCCTTCACTCTTTGGAAATGGAGTGGAATGGAAACTCAATATTATACATTGAGAATACCAGGGTTATGATCATATGTGAAGATCTGATCAGCTATTTTGTGAAAATGTTAAAATTGTTTCAGATTTCTACAAGATTTCACATGACCTTGGTAATCCTTTTGTAAGATGTGAATTATTTTCAGAAGCAAGCTGGAAGGTTTTGTGATCCTTCTAAGCAACGTTTGTGTGAATTAGCTCTGCACGTTTTTAGATTTTCCACCCCAGTGGCATCCAGCTGATGATCGATTAGATATATTATGGCCCTGTCACCATATGTGTATGTCATCACTAACATTCATCTTTCCTTTCTTTATATCCACCTTCCCTGGTGCCCAGAATATTTGTGGGGAGTACAACACCCAGAATTCTTATCCATTCTGACAAATGATTGTTCCAAAACATCTGGAGATCATCAGATTAGGAAAAACTGTTATATATCATTGTTGTAACATATGAAATGGCCCTGAATTGATGCTGGAAAAAAATCAGAGTGGACGATTTACAATTTGGAAAAGAGAATGTGAGAAATGGGCTAAAGAGTTTTTGTTTATAAATTACTTTTGAACAAAGTCCTCGTTATTAAAATTGTTTAATAATAGCTAGTCGCATTGTTTGCACGAGCTTTCTGAGATTATGGGACTCTTAAAAGAGAAGCTGTTACCTCAATTTTTTTTCCACAGGAAATCTGGTTTACATCAGCTAAGTTAAAAATTACTCTGAAATCTGGCATAAACAAGATGATCTCTCTCTTTTACCTGTTGTTTCTGATGGAGCCTCAGAATATGTAAGTGCTTCTTCAATGAAATCATTGTCCCCAGATGATGAATTCATTTGTCTGGTGTGTTTTGGAGTCATTGTATAAGAAGACGTATCAGCAATATTGAATGAGCTGGTGATGTTAGCATTCATAGTAGTGGATATTTGGGTTACATTATGAGCATTCTTGACCTCTCTTAAAGTTTGTAGTGTGGTCTCATCATCTCTGTCTGATAAACTTGAAATAGATGCACTGTTCTGATCAGAACGGGAAATTCTGGTTTCTATATTTGAGCTGCTGCTTGACTGAGCACTGCTTTCTACAGTTGAAACATAATAGTCAAAAATTAGAGGCATCATGTCCGTATGCTAAATGAGCACCACAAACATGCTTCTACAATTACATTCACACAACTCTGATAGAAAACATTAATTTTTCAGGTGATAACGACTCTCTGATCAAAGAAAGGAACAATCAAATTAGAACATAACTAAAGGAAGTTCTTGTTTTTTCATTTGTAACTCATATTTATGTTCAGTTATCATTTAGCAAAATGTAAGACATCAACTCTGTTAAAATATATTTTATCATTACTGAAATTAATTTTAAGCATTATATTTTCCATAAAAGTATTTAAGGAATACTTTTGACTTTATCTTTCATTTTAGGTCATCTTTTCCTTAAAATAACCTCTATATTTTATTAAGCCAGTTCTTTAACCATTGCAGATCTCTTCAGAACAAGTCAGAAATAATTGTATCAGCTGCTACCATGTAAGAGAAAAGTCTTTCCTTCTGAAAGATGCTTTATCTAAATGTATGTTAATGCCCCAAATAAAACGTTATTACTGACCAACTACTTTCAAGTACTTTATTGTTGTTATCTAGAACAGTAGCTGTTTTAAAAAATTAAATGGTTCTCTTTTTTTAAGCAAATTGCCTTTACTAATTGAGCTGAAATATAATTTAGGATTTTTCTACATAAGGAAGCAAAAATGCACTGAAATAATTATTCTCCTAACATATTTAAAGAAACTAGTATCCCAGCTTTCACAAATATCCACAGCCATATTCTCATCCATTTACCATAATCCAGCTCTGGTAAACAGCCCAATTTTCTATTACATTCCAATTCATATTCCCACCCTACCCCACCCCCTGCCAATTCTCCTCCTATGTGTTTCATAATATGTTTCCATTTATAGTTATCTCTAACTCAAAATACTATCTTTTTTTAAGGATTAGAAGCCAAGGGAATTGTAAGTGTGATTCATTTTTGTCTGGATTTCACTGAAAATGGGAACTATCACCACGCTGAGATTTCAAAGCTGCAACTTCTATTATATTTTACCATATACAGCTGATAGGGGATCAAAACAGTTGCCTATTCAACTACAAAGAAAGGAGATTCTGAATTATTAGTCTAATATATGATCCATTAAAACAAGTGGAACGAAATCCACCTCAGTACTAGGAAAAAGGCGACCTTGTTTTCTCACCTTGAATTCCTAGAGCCCTTTGGCCGTGATTTCTTTCCCACCTATTGTTATAGTAAGCTTACAGTGGCAGAATGAAGGAAGGAGTAAGCATTTGACATTTCACCTAATATTGCAAAGCCAACTGAATGGTTTTGAGTCATTTTTAGAAAAGAACTATGTGGGTTGTGGGGAGACTGAGATAAGAGATGAGACCGATGGCACTAATGGGCTATAATACAGTAGCAATCTCAAGGAAGGAATCAGTGGCAGATCACTTGACCAGCAAGAACCCAAAGAACAGAGATCCTTTGCAAGGCTAATGACTTCGACTGTGGCTTCCCAGTTTGGTACTGAATTGATTTCTAGAAGCAGCAAGAAGGTCTATCCTAAGAAGGTGACATAATTAGCACGTGGATAAGTAAGGGAATAAGTAAGGGAACCAATGTGAAGTAAGAGGACCTATGTGGTTTTTCCTAGAAAAAAATATTCTAGACAGTGGCAAATCATATGAAGATATAGTACTAGTTCTCGCTCCATGGAGAAGATCAGGAAGACTCTGCAGGTGCCAGGCAAAATAGTGTTCTGAAAACTGAAACCAGACATCTTCCATCCCTACCTGTTTTTTCTGAAGAAGCTTGCAAATGTGTATTTGTTCCTTCAGTGAAATCAGTGATCTGAGGAGTTAAATCTGTTTCTACTGGAGTTAACAGGTAAGAAGAATCAGTGAGACCTGAAGAACTGGAGGTTTCATTGTGCCAGGCTGTGGATCCTTGTGTTACATCATGAGCACTGCTGACATCTCTCAGGGTTCGTAATGTCCTCTCCCCAGCCAAGTCAGATAGATCTGAAAAGGAGATGCTGTTCAGGTGATCAGTGGAAAAAATGCCCACTGGACTTGAGCTGCTGTGTGACTGACCATTCTCTTCTTCAACTGAAACAGAACAGTAAGGAATTAATTTTAGTCCTAATTTTCACATAATTATGTAGATGAAAAATTTCTGCCAATTTCCAAATTAAAAAATTGTTCTTAATTTCCTTTAGAGTTACATTTTTATTATATAAAATATAAGATTAAAAATTGCTTTTCACTTCCCTTGAAACTATATTTTATTCCACATATGATTGGGAATACTGTACCAACAGCTGCTTATTCTATTTTAAAGAAAAGGTCTTCTGAATTCTTACGCAGTTTAAAAAATTGAATTGGAAGCTAATAAAAGCTATCGAACTAGACCTGTACTGTCTCGTAGAGTTCCTTGGGCTGAACCTGACATCAATCCTGCCAGACTCATACTACCATCGAGAGGGGGGAATTGGAATCATGGCAACGGATCCCCAGGGGGCAAATTTGACACCACAGTTGTTGGCGGCAGCCCTGCTACAACATCAACAGCAAGTGGATGATGTCAGGTTCAGCCCAAGGAACTCTACGAGACAGTACAGGTCTAGTTCGATAGCTTTTATTAGCTTCCAACCACAGAAAGAATCCTGCCAGACTGAATCTAAACTCCCCAAGTCAGCAAGCAAAACCCCGCAAATTCCTTAGGGTGGTGCCAGTCTCATCTTCTTAACCTTCCCACACTCCTGCTGGGGGGTAAGGCAATGCTTATCTCCCCGAGCATGGCCTTCATCAAAGCATTCCATCACACATATTAATTATATGAGCTCAAATCAAATCATTCTTCATTATGGTCACAGACCAGCAAAAATATATGAACCTATAATAATATGCATAGAGATCTCAACAATTGCTGCTTCCATTAAAGTGTTATCATCTCCTATCACATTCATATTACCTTTATACCAAACCCAAAACAAATAATTGTTGTTTTTTGTGCCTTTGAGTCAGTCCTGACTGCTGGCAACTGCCTGGACAAGTCCTTACAGTTTTCTTGGCAAAATTTTGGAAGTAGTTTGCCCTTTCCTCCTCCTTCCTAGGGCTGAGATAGAGTGATTGGCCCAAGGTCACCCAACTGGCTTTGTGCCTAAGGTGGGACTAGAAATCATGGTCTCCTGGTTTCTAGCCTGGTACCTTAATCTCTACACCAAGCTGGCTCTCCAAAACCAATAATAAATGTTATAAATCCAGTACTCCGAAAACTTTATTCTTTACCTGTTGTTTCTGAAGGAGCCTGAGAAGGTATAAGGATTCCTTCAGTGAAATCAGTGTCCCCAGGTGATAAATCTTGGCCAATCTGTTCTGGACTTTTCATACGAAAAGAATGAGCAAAATCTGAATTGCTGGAGATGGTAGTATTGGCCACAGTGGACCTTTGTGTATCACTTTCAGAACTGCTGACATCCCTTACAGCTTGTAGTGTACTCTCTTCATCTCTTTCTGATAGACTTGAAACAGATACACCGTCTGTCTGAGAACTGGACATTTTCTCTTTATTTGAACTGCTCCTCAGGTGACTGCTATCTTTTGCAGCTGAAACACAACAGTAAATATTTAGATGCACCACCTGCCAGGGATGAATGAAGACCACATTTTATAATGAATAATCATATATCTAATAGTAAACATTCATTTCAAATGTGAGAATATCTTTAGCCTGAAAAAAAAAATGTGTTAAATTTATTATGACAATTGTGTGTGTGTGTGTGTGTGTGTGTGTATAAAATGATCATAAAGTTTTAAACCATAAATACATTCAAGTCTTGCCATGTTTATTTCATAATATGTAAATTATTGATTTTGTAATAAAGTTTTTTTTCCCCCATGCATCACACCACTCAAATTCACAAATTCAAGAGGCTGGTAGTGACCTATAAAGTCCTTCATTAAAGC